CAAAATACTAAAAACTAACTAGGCTGTTATAAGCCCTATCTTAACCTCAGCGACTCAAGCCGATCATGGTGGTGCATGCCTGTAATACTAGCTCTTGGAATGTGCTTGGGAGTTCAAGGTTCTATCTTCTATTACGTGGTGAGCCTGGGTTACAGATTACCCTGTCTCAACAAACAAGAAAACACAAGACAAGATTCTAACATGAGAAACTATTCATATAAACAAGTTTAATGTAATAACATGGAATGCAAAAGATTAGAACCATTGTTAATAAAGTATCTACATCTTCTACTTTAAAAAATTAAAATATGCCAGGCGATGGTAGCACACGCCTTTAATCCCAGCACTCAGGAGGCAGAGCCAGGCGGATGGCTGTGAGTTCGAGGCCAGCCTGGGCTACCAAGTGAGCTCCAGGAAAGGCGCAAAACTACGCAGAGAAACCCTATCTCGAATAAAAATAAAAATAAATCATTAAAATAAATAAAACAGGACATTGATCAGAATAACAGTACCATTATAATCACATTAAATAGAAAAGCTACTGTTATTTTAAGGATGTATCAAAGGCAGTACCATACATATTTTGTGACTCAGAGGCTTCAGATGGCCATGATAAACCAGGGTAAAAGTACCCCATGGACAGCTGCTCACTCACTGAAGAAAAGAACCTTGGTTCTCAAGATCTGCCCTTGGATGATTCTAACATCATGTGACAGGTGAGACAGGTGGGTGGGCATTGTCTGCACAGAACTCTACACTTAGTAAAATAGTTACTTAAACTGTTGTACCTTGTCACAGTTTTCATTTCTCTTGTTTCTTTAAAAGACTGTCCAAGTTGTGTGCGATTTTAGGTTCAACCATGTTTACACGTGCAGATATGTATCTGGTTGTAACAACAGATGGGTCTGACTCCCTGTGATGTGAGAAACGGTGCACCCTTAAGTCTGTTTAGATGTATGAGACTAAAATAATTTTGTGATAAGAAACAGCCTTATTCAATATATATACATATATTTAAAAATGAGCAGTAAGGAGCAGACATAACTACTCATACCCTTGACAACCAGGAAATGACAATAAACTTTAGAAAAATACAATGCAAGAAGATATTCAAGTTGAAAATATATTCCTTTGGCTAAAAATCATCCCCTTTGTGATCATTTATACTCTTAACTCAGAGCAAGTCCAAGCAGCTACAGGCATGCTCTTGTCACTACTACATTGCACACTACAGTGGTTTTCCAGTCTAGGGGGTATGGAGCTCACTGGCTGCAGCAACAAAAATGAACCGGAAAGCCTTGGAGCATCATCTTGATGGTCATCTTTACTTCTGGTTCCTCAGACACAGGTACTTTTCTTCAGATACTGTATAGCCAAACTTTTTGTAGAAGCCCACGTTTTGTGGTAGACATTCAAGGGTGATCTTGTAACAGTTCAGCTTCTTGCTTAGCAAAGTGAGAGTTGATAATAACCTGAAATTTTGAAAAGGGAAGTGTGGGAGACAGTATGAACCAAAATGGGCCTTGATGATGCTACAGATTAGTGATATATACAAATAAAACTAGTATTTATTAAGCACTCCTTTAAGTATCAAATGATGAAGTTGATAAGCATTTAAATTACTGAAGCATTTCTATCTTGTTTCAGACACCACCCCCAGCCTATTAACTAACAGCCGACACCTCTTTATGGGAGGAGGGCTCCAGTGCAGCATGGTGGGGGGCCGTTTTGCAGCTCTCCTTTAGATGGGCTCTAGAAATCACTGCAAGTGCGGTCACTCTCTCGCCCATCTCACCAGCCTCTGAACATTTTTTTGTGTGAGGGGCTGGAGAGATGATTTTCCAGAAGATGGGTTCAATTCCTAATACATATATAGCTTCTAACTGTATCTCCATTTCCAGGTGATCTGGAACCTGGCCTACATAGGTACCAGACTTACAAGTGGTACACAGACATACATGCAGGCAAAACACCTATATGCATAAAATTTAAAAAAATTCACATGCAGGACTAGAGAGCTGGCTTGGCATTAAACGAAGCACACTGGCTGCTCTTGGATCTGACTCCTGCTTTGGTTCCCAGCAACCACATGGTAGCTCACAGCCATTTGTAACTCCTGTCTCAGGGCATCTAATGCTGCCGTCTGCCTTCTGAGGTACCGGGAACGCAAGTGATACACAGATATATATGCAGGTGAAATACCCACTGAAGTAAAACAATTTTTAAAAGTTCACACGTGAGCATAGGTATAGTGAGTGGCACACTTGTAATTCCACCATCTGAGAGGCTGAAGCAGGAGGATTGCTGTGAGTTCAAGGAAGGCCAGCTAAACTAACTGCACACATGTGTAAGACAAGCACAGACTCAGAGACTGGGGTATAAAAATACCAAGGACTGAGAAAGCAGCAGTGAGGAGTGCTTGCCAAGCATGTGTGTGAAGTTCTAGGTTCAATCCTCCGTACTGGGATTGCAGAACCTGAACACAGCCAAATAAATAACTAACAACACTTTTTTTAAATACTAAAGACTATCAAATTGTGAGAACAATGACCCGAATTATTTTTATGTAAGGACTCTAACTGGCTGTGGTGTTACACCTGTAACAGCACCTAAGAGGTGAAGGCAAGAGGGTCTGGAATTGAAGGCTCTCTTCTACCATAGCAAACCAGATCTTATGTCAAAAGACAAACCCCAAAATATGTTTGTGCCAGGGGCGGGGGATGGAACTCAGCGTTCAGGTTTGCCTAACATGCAGAATGTCCTCAATTCCTTATGGAACACTGTAAGGTTGCAGGTGGGGTGCCTTTGTTCTAAATGTACCCAAGTAAACACTTGCCATGTTCACATATATGAGTAAGTAATAGGTATAGTCTTGAAACAGTCTCCTATAGCCTTGGCTGGCCTGGAACTGGCCATGTAGACCAGGTTAACTCACAGAGATATGCCTGCCTCTGCCTCTTATGAGCTGGGATTAAAGGTATGCCACCATGCCAAGCTTCATTAATCACCTTAAAAGCTGATTTTTGAAGATGTGGGTCAAATAAACTTGATTAGTCTGAATAATACATGTATGTATTATTCAGAAACCATCTTACAAAGCCCAAGGAATAAGAATCCTGCATAAATATGTAATCTAAGGTGGGCCATGATGGTGCACACCTTTAATACAAGCACTCAGGAGGCAGAAGCAGGCAGGAAAAAAAAAAATCTAACTGCTGTAAGATATTAAATACACCAAAGGTGCTAACTAAGAGGTTTTCTCCTGTTGTGTGTGCTTGTGCATTTAGAAAGATCTTGTCATTAAAAGTTAAAAGAGGTTACTTTCCATAAGCCAGGCCTATTCTCCACTACTCCAGAGGCTGAGGAAGGAGGATCACAAGTTCATAGTCATTCTGAACTTAATGATACCCTTGTCTCAAAAAGAGAAAAAAGCCAGGCGTGGTAGTACATACGTTAACCCCCACAGTGGGGAGCAGAGGCAGGCAGATCTCTGAGTTCGAGGTCAGCCTGGTCTACAGAGTGGTTCCAGGACAACCAGGACTACATAGGTAAACCTTGTCTCTAAAACAAAAAGGTGCGCAAGTGGGGGCGACTAGTGACATAACTCAATGGTAGAACACAGTTCGATTACTTGCTACTCTGATAAATGGAATATGTTTTCAATTCTCAAACTTGGGGGGCGGGGGGGAGTAAAAACTAGTGGCA